AGTTCTCTGCATACAGCTCCATGGAACAATTTCAGCAACGCGTGATTTTTCAACATATGCAGAAAAGCATAATCCAAGGGGCTCTAAAAAATAATTAGTTATAACCACTAAGAACATAGGTCTTTTTGAGAAATAATTCATTATGCACAGGTGAAAAATTATTACTATATGGTGAATCATACAATGGAAGGAAATAGGGAAATCACAGAAATGCTGAAGGAGGCAATTCCTCTCCTACCTATCCTAATGGAGAGAAGAATAAAGGGAATTAAATCATGTAAGCAAAGCACATGACGACAGTAAAAAACCGATTGGCTAAGTAGCCAACAAACGCAAAGACTGAGGAGTAAATTAAGTCACTTAGATACAACTTTAACAACAGAGGGCTGGTCTGTACAGGATGTTCATGGAAAAGCTCTTCCTGGTATAACAAAAAAGAACCTAAATCCACATTTCTAATATCCTCAGAAACGTCAGATTAAAGGATCATTTTCATTTTTCCTAGCATAAAAGCTTAGATTAAATGCACACAGCATTATCACCAACAATTTCTTCATGTCCTGTACAAAAAGGACATTACCAAGCTACAGATCAATTTTGCATCCCTTCTAAACACGTACTGCTTTCAAGTGGTTTTCCCAACTTGCATTGGAGAGATGAACTTTCAGATAAGGGATCTAAAACAGCATCTGAAAATGCAGCCTTCAATCAAAATTAAACGTAACTAAGGGAAAAAACCCAGTAGGCTGGGATAGAAAGGAGACTGGTGATCACATGACTGAGAACTCTTTCAATATTCTAAAAAAATGGTGAATAATAGGTGACAGGTAAATGACCTCATAGAAAGAGGCTTCAATAAACCTCTTCTGTTCTTTATAAAATACATGTTTACCTCTCCAGCCCGACATAAAAAACATGCTTTCAGTCCAAAGCCAAATTTTATGAGTTCCCTCACGCATAAGGCAACAGAAATAGGATATGCAGAGACTATATTTTGTTATCCCTTTTTTTAAAGAAGAGTGAATAAAAGCCCTGCACTCAATTCAATCACATTTCTCTGTGATAGAGTGTGAACACTCACCTGACTGATTCCTAAATGTAATGAAACACTCTAAGTGGCAACGGGCAGCACTGTATTGCTTTTGTTAAAAATCAGAAAGGGAAACGCATGCCAAGCTTCCTGCACCCATTTAGGACTGTCAGCATTTTCAGCCACCTCTGTAAGATCTCTACTGACTCAAAGAGCCAACTGACAGTACATAGCAACACCCTCCAGCATAATTATAATCCCTTTCAGCTTTGTCCACCTCCTAGTTTAAAATGATGGTTCCCTTAATTACGTCTCCATCAGGCAGAACACAAAGAGTGCACGAGCTGAAGAAGACTTAAGGGTCTCTAGTGGAGAAAGCTAAAGAAAACGATGACCCCGAAGTGACGCACAGCGCATGTGCCCAATACAAGCAACGAAAATGTGGGTATGCGCCTGCGTATATAAGGATTTTTCCACATATCGGTATTACAGTTTGAGGAAAAGAAATAGCAAGAAAGGAAATGCCTTCTCGGGCTAAACAAGCCCTTAATGTACCACTGCATTAACTGAGAATCAGATCAGACTTGTGAGTTAACGCAGGAACAGCCAGATGATCTTACGTTTCAGACAAAAACTCAGCTCCCAAACACTTCACTTTGTTCTGTTAAATAGCTGCACTAGAACTGCAGGAACTTGTCTACAGGTTGTGTTTCTTCAGATGGCAGATCAAGCAACGCCACAGTGCTGTAGCAAAACAGCAGAACATCTTTTTCTTTCCTCTTTTGAAAACCTAGGAATTTTAATAGGAAACATAAAACCGTTTGACCGCATTTCTTGGTATTCTGTAAATATTGCCTTCTCTACAAGAGTTACACCTGAAAATTGCTTAGCACGTGGAAGGTAATTAATTCCTTGGGGCCTAATTCTGTATTCCTTATGTGCACAACTTCTTTTGAAGTCAATATTAGTGATGTCATTTTAATTTTCTTCACATCTGCCATTCTTATCTTAGAAGAAAAAAAAAAAACGCAATCCTTTAATTCCATTAAAAATTCCTTGTAGACTGCCTTTTGTGCTGCCTGTAAGTTTAAAAAAATCTTTGAGAAAATTAATATTCAGTGTATTCAGTGTAAATATTAATAAAAACAGAGAGAGCAACAGAGGAAATGAGCAAAATATAACAAAACTGCTGATACTGGATAAAGGCAAACCTTTTCAAGAACACATGCATTAACACCTTCCTGACAAGTGAAGACAGCAGCAAAAATTATCAAATCCCTTCTCTTTCCATTGCATCAACAGAAAATCCAACAATAGCAAAATTGGTGACTGAAGGCACTACAGCAGTACAGACAGCTCTGTCAAGCATGAAGTATTTGGTGAAATTGTGAAATTAATTTGTGAATACCAGACTTTTTGCAAAGACTTCCATGTCAGAATTTTCTACCCCTTTATCTGCATCCCTTTATCACACACACAGACCCATGTGTGTGAGGTAATGCTGCAAGATTATCAAGGAAAATTATTGTTTCTCCCGTATCCGTGATGACAAGTCTAAAGAAAGAACCTCCGTTCACAAGAAAAATACTGAACCTTTGACTTTCAAGCTTTGATAACTGTACTCTATTTTTATCTTAAAAATGTGTTGGCAAGCATCCCTTCTTGTTTGCAGGAGCGAAAGTTAAGGACAGCTGCAATGTGGCATACAGTATATCTGAAACACCAGATTTTTGAGCGGGACTTGGCAGGGGTGATTGGCCTCTCCTTTCACCATCTTTTACTGCAGAATTCCTATCTATCAAGAACTTCCCAAAACCACCTCCATTGGCTATTTTATTTTGGAATATTTTGTGCCTCCTGTAGGCTGAAGTTTGTGGGTTTGCTCATAACTTTTTACTTTGTGTGGTTGCATATTCAGAAGACGGCAGCCTCTATCAAACTGTGCAGATAAAACTGACTGACAGAGATACTACTAGTCTGAAGGATCGTAAAGAAGATAAATCTGATGAAATCTTGGAACAATGGCCATGGTAGCAAAACTTGTGTTTTTGATGCTTAGTTTTCAAAGTGCATGTTAGAAGTACAACTGCACACTATCAGAATGAATACAAGGATGTTGTTAATTATTTAGTGGATCAATGGAGTGTCAATCATTTCAACATGAAATAGCCTCCACACTATAAACCACAATTCTTTAATGCCCAGTAATGCAGCATGGTTGGATGCAGTTACATCAAGTGAAGACAGGTACCACTGGCTTATAATTTTTGAAGCGTTAACAAGCCAGCCCAGCTAAAATACATACAATTTACCTGATAAAGTTTCATTAGCAAACAGTTTTTGGGTTTAGATTTTACTTTTAATTATTTAAATTTCAACACAGGTTTGTGGTTTTTTTTCTATAGATCAATATTTGTGTGATTTGCAAAGCAAGTAAGCTACAGAGATTATTTAAAACAAATCTGGTACCATAAAACAGAAGAGGTTCACTGCCTTTAATGGAGTAATTTATTTCTCCAAATAGTTACAGAGCTCGAGAATAGTAATAGTTATTGGATAGACCAATCCATTTATGAGTTCAATCATGAAGAGGAGAGTTTAAGTGCTTTAAGATTTGGGAAAAAGCCTGTCACAGCTTCAGTGAGCATTTCTTGATTTTTTCAGACATCCATACATGAAGAAACCCTCCAATTCTATGAGCTTTGCTTTCTGTCCGCATTTTTCATTTTGCGCTGCCAAATGACCATAACAGTTGCTTTTAATGTTTTTGTTTCACGTATATTTTCAAACATACTGGTCGTCGTAAAAGGGTTTCATTACTGAAAAATGTATCACGTTAATAAAGTTACGGAGTTTTAGCAAGCCATTATGCTAATCCTATTCAGCCATTTGAGGTCTGATGAGATATTTGATATGAGTAAGTTGTGCAAAAGTAAAAAGCATTTAACTAAGTGGCTTTTGCATTATCTAAAACATAAAACAAAAAACCTTCCTGTTACTACACAATTAGACTACAGTAATGTCTGGCCTCTGGCAGATGTGCGATATATTAATAAAAGCTACACAAAAAGAGGAAAACTGCAAACTACTATTAAAGTAGTTTTTCTACTTTAAAAAGTAGAATACTCAAGAGTTAGAATTGGGTGACAAATGTACTTAATGCATTTCTTTGAGAGAAAAGGTATTACATAAATTCATTTCTGATCCACATTATTTTCTTATGTTCACCATACTAAAACAAGGATGTTGTCAGAGAACCAAAATCAAATTCCAGAAGCATGGTGTCCTCTCCCAGCCACTGCCAAGTCCTTTTGTGATGGTAGGTAACTCAACTCACCTTTTTTTTTTTTCCTCACTGTATGGACAAACATACATGTGAATAAATATACATGTATATAATTCTGCTGCACATATTTTATTTCTTCATAGAATCACAGAACAGTTGAGGTTGCAAGGGCCTCTGGAGATCATCTAGTCCAACCCACAAGCTCAAAGCGGGGTCAGCTAAAGTGGGCTGTGTCCAACTGGGTTCTGAATATCTTTTAGAATGGAGAGTCCACAATCTTTTTCTTCCTTTGCTTTTAATAAAGCAAATTTTTGTTTTAAAACAACTTTTTACACATGTTCATTTACTTCAGTTCCTTAAATTGTATCAAGTATACAACAACAAATAATTTTCCTCATCATCCATTCACGGCGTTATTCTGAATTGTTCAAAATTACATAAATAATGTTAATTAAAGACTTCGTGTTACACGCTGCATACACAACATTTTAGAAATAAAGTTCTAAATACCGCTGTTATAAACGGTTGCTCACATATGAAATTAAGGATACATTTATGGTCTGGATAATATTGCAAACCTTTTCAATAAGCGTCAATTTGAAGATTGTGTACAACTTATTAGAAAGCAATTTTTCCCGATTGCTATCTGGTGAAGCGGATTCCGCCCATTATCAGTCAACTTACTTAGTCTCTGAGCAGCCTCCAGGGCATCATTTGCAGAATCAGCTACGAAGAATCTCTGAACTGCAACCCCATGGTCTGCCATTATTTTTTTGCTTTGGTACTCCTGCAGGTTCAGCCATCGTCTAGGGGTTAATTGAACAGCCTAGAAAAATGAGAGGGGAAAATAACATAATGCTCATTAAGAACAGTTCACGAGACAGCCAACTGAGCTCTTCCACCTTATGGGTATCTCAAATCAGCAGTTAAA